ACCAGTTTAAGTCATAACTGTCTGTGATGGTCCCATCCTACCACCTTCCTATGTTAGTTGTTATTTTCAGCTCTCCAGTTTTACATTAACAGGTTAAATGTCTCACACTAACACTTCCACTTCCGTGTGCCGACCTAGAGGTTGCTGCTGTATGATCCCCCATTAACATGCTAATCTCTCACATTAACATAGCCACCTCAGCGCTTTCTTCATAGAGGCCACTCACCGATCCTACATTAATATGCTAATTTTTACCTGGCAGCCCTTTCATTGGTGGAAAACCCACCACTGCCGCGATCGCCGCCCACCACTTAAATTAACATAAGCTGCCCCGCCCATGCTGCTGACATTTGGGCTACGCCCATTTCAAACCTTTATAAACAGTTTGCCTTTAGAAGCTAACCCCCTTTTCCTGATGACGACCGCTTGTGTTGCGATCGAAACATAGTTTTTTTGTTATTTTCTTTGAACCTATCTACGTGACTTTACCGAAAGACCCAAATAATATGAATTCTTGCAGTCACGAAAAGCTTTAAGTCAAGATTTAATAAGCACATTGTGACAATTTGCGATTATTGCTCCTACCAAACGATTTAATTACGATATGAATTGTGTGTGGGTGATTCCACAATAAAATTAAATTAGTTTTAGATGTGGTGACAGCATTGAGTGCATTATGCATCACGTAAACTTGCGAATAAGAACACTGAGAGAGCCGGTTGCTCTGCAACAGAGAATAGGAGACAGCTGTCACTGTTATGTCTTTCTTACAAGTACAAAATTTTAGTTAATAAAATGCCAAGATAATATGCATTGTCAGGTTTCTTTTTTTATATATATTCAAGAATATTCTGCCAAAATAATTACATTTAGAGGACAAAATGAAAAGCTCGAGCAATTTTAAGTGAACCGTGTCAGCCTTCAGTATTCGTTACGCCCACCTCTTAGGTGTCGCTATCGTCTTCCGAAATTATTCCGCCGTTTCAATTAAATTTCAATTTGGCACACGGAACATCCCGCTAAGCCAGTTATCCAGCTAGTTTTAATGGGAACGGGTCCGCAGCCAGTAACGATCGAGCCAGCTGAGAAATTCGAGGCATCGATTATTTTTCATCGTAGTATGATTTGGTGTTAGTTAGACTTTTAACCCTTATTATAGTAAGACTTGTTTAAAACTTATTTAAGATTTTAGATTCCTATATGTTGAATGTATGCACCATCCTGCCAAAGTAAATTCCTTGTCGGTGTGAACTTTCATGGCGAATAAAACCCTTTCTGATTCTGATTCTGAAAATGAATGAAAGACCATGGGCTTCATTAAAAATCTGATAAAATCAGGTTCTGTCTCATGCTGTAATTCAAATCATCGTGGAATTTGATAATGTGCACGTGTCTTTTTTCCAGATATTATCATTTGCAATATGCATATGCAGTATTTTATATATGCAGGTCTCCATTTACGGAACCATCGTGTAGGCGGAGTGCTCTGGCCAATAACATCTGGCAGCCCAACATAATTTGTTGAACAGGCCACACTGCTTATGAGATGCAGAAGGTCAGAACCATTCTAGAGTTTGCTTATTTAAACACATGCTGCTGGATATTGGTTCTGAAAGCCAATAACTAAACAATATCTTATTTTGCATTGGAGACACAATCGAGTTATGTTTACATGTGATTTACTTCCACGCATATTCTACATTGGTCCTAAACAAACAACGTAATAATGTGCTTTGCAATGCTTTCATGACTGTTGATTCTTTGACCTTGATCTCGTGTAACGTCGTAAACTGTTCAAATCCCCCACGGTAACCCCAATGATCCTGGAAGAATTTTACCATTAACACATTAAAAAATACACGCGGGTGGGAGTGCTTACTTGGAGCATATTCCTGACATTTATAATTACGAATAAGTGACCTGCCTGCAAGACTGGCGGCATGTCGGCGTGTTTTGACAGCTGAACGACCCCCCGGGGAAGATGCATCTACATTAAAATGAGAGTTTGGCTTAAATCATGCAGACCATGTATGGCGTTACCAACACATCACTGGGAAATAGTGGGGGGTTTGGGGGGGGGGGTAAACGTTCACAACTCTCGTTTCATACTAAAAATACCATGCGCCGACCTAACACTTGCATAAGAGTTCTGACGGCGTCGCAAATATGTACTCCAAACCTTAAAAAAAAAAAACATTGAGCGGTTGTTTAGGTACAGTATATGGTTGTGGTTAACGTTCCATTATTTATAACGGTACTATAAACCATTGTAACGTTAACACTGCATTGTACTTTGTATACTATATACTATGTATAATGGAGTGCCAATAAGACATAAAAAAGAATAAGACATCCGTTTGAGGGCAACCACGCATTTGAAACCATTGGGTTTGACAGCATGATGGCGTGCGTCAGGGGCCGCACTAAATGCCACCAGGGTCCACCAGTGGCCCGTGGGTCTTGCAAGGAAACACCACTGGTGGTCCAGACGTTCAATCACGGCTACGACGTTCATCAGAAAATATCCAGGCAGGTCTCGTCGGTTTTCCTGACAGCTCTGCGATTCCTCTTCAAGTGTAATCGGGAACAACGCGTCCCGACCTCGTTTCAAGCTCCGTCCTCTCAACCCAACCTCGCTGGGTTTAGAACTTTACATTTCTGGGACAATTATCATTGATAATTATCAGCGACTGAGCAGGTGGACCGCCGCAGCTATACACCGTCCGAAGTGACAACACGACGTGATGACATTCATTGTTTACGGTACTGCTCAACCAGTGCACGATCAAATATCCGCCCAACATCTCCCGGATTGCTTTCAGTCGTCACCGGGGGAGATCGATGCCAATTACGGTCGACTTCCTGGCAACCCTACCCATCACACAACCCGCACTGGTCAACATGGTGAAGTATGGTCAAACATCACCCCCCCCCCCGCCCCCCAAACCTCCACCCCCATGGCTGACTGAAACTGCGTGGGGAGGCCTGCAACCCAGCAGTGGTTCATCAAGGACTGTAAACATCCATTTTTATATTACGACAGCTGATAAAGAAAACAAGTAGGAGTGATTTTTTTTTATTTAAAGCTTTCGTGACTGCAGGGACTCATATTCTTGGTCCTCAAATTTTCTTGCTGTGGTTTTCACACCTGATGATGATTTGCTTGTGTTGCAGTCGAAACGTCGTGAGAATGTTATTGTTTTATATTTTTATTATGTTATTGTTTCCCTTCTACGTGACTTTACCGAAAGAACCAAGAATAAGTAGGAGTAGAGGGGGCATTGTTTAGTTGCTGTGCGTAGGGGCCACGACTAGCGGCATCAGACCGGAGTGTTGGTCAGCGAGGAGGGAGCGCATTAGCTGCTGGGACAGGAGAGAGATAGCTAAGAGAGTGTGTTAGGAGAGAGAGAGAGGGGGGCAGGAGAGTGAGATGGGAGTGGGGAAAGGAGGGTGAGACGGGAGAGTACAGAGCGTGGAAGAATTATAATGGTGATGCTAGTGGTAGTAAACGTGTGTGTGTGTAGATACTGTGGGGAACGGTGGCGCAAACACCATTGACGATTATCTGAACCGGTCCTGGACCTCTCCGAGGACAACTCAGCCTCAAATGAGTACCTGACGCGGCGTGTTAAACATTGTCACTGGGGAGACAAAGGCGGCCGGGTGTGGTTTTGGCTACCCAACCCCTCGTGTGCCGTGCCGGCCTTCAAAGGCGCCCACAAACAGCACTTGCCCCAATAGTCTGTTAAGGCTGCACGGGGGATCTTTGTCTTTGTACGCTTGTACCGGAGCGGTGGCGCCACCAACAACCAGCGACGATTGTGTGAACCGGCCCTGAACCATCCCCGAGGTTCAACTCGGTCTCGAACGAGTACCTGGTGCGGTGTGTTAAACATTGTCACTGGGGAGACAAAGGCGGCCGTGCGTGGTGCTGGCCACCCACACCCCATCGTGTGCGGCGCACGAAGAGGACCGGGCCCCAAGTTTGCTCATCGGGGAATCTTTGTTATGGACAAAGATAAAGGCGTTGGTGTTGTTGTTGACAAAGATCGCCTGTATAGCCTTTGACAGAATGTTGGGGCAAGTGCTGTTAGCGAGCGGCACACGAGGTGGGGGGGGGAGGGGGGCACCACGCCCGACCGCCTTTGTCTCCCCCAGTGGTGATATCTTTCACACAACCGCACCAGGTACTCATTGGATGCTGAGTCGATCTAGGGGAGGCCCGGGACTGGTTCAGATAATCGTCACTGGTGTTGGTGGCCATGAGCAGGAATTGAAAACGGGAACGCAAGTGAGCACAAAGACAAAGCTGCCCCGTATAGCCTTTAACAGACGTTTGGGGCAAGTGCTGTTCGCGAGCACAAAGACAAAGATGCCCCGTAGTCTTTAACAGACTTTCGGGGCAAGTGCTGTGAGCGAGCACAAAGACAAAGATGCCCCCTATAGTCTTTAACAGACTTTTGGGGCAAGTGCTGTTCGCGAGCACAAAGACAAAGATGCCCCCTATAGTCTTTAACAGACTTTCGGGGCAAGTGCTGTTCGCGAGCACAAAGACAAAGATGCCCCCTATAGTCTTTAACAGACTCTTGGGGCAAGTGCTGTTCGCGAGCACAAAGACAAAGATGCCCCCTATAGTCTTTAACAGACTTTCGGGGCAAGTGCTGTTCGTGAGCACAAAGACAAAGATGCCCCCTATAGCCTTTAACAGACTTTCGGGACAAGTGCTGTGAGCGAGCACAAAGACAAAGCTGTCCCGTATAGCCTTTAACAGACATTTGGGGCAAGTGCTGTTCGCAAGCACAAAGACAAAGAAATCCGCGTATAGCCTTTAACAGACTTTCGGGGCAAGTGCTATTAGCGAACACAAAGACAAAGATCCCCCGTATAGCCTTTAACAAACTTTTGGGGCAAGTGCTGTTCGCGAGTACGCACACACACGGAGAGACGCATACACAGTCTATACACAGCACAGTATACACGTGGTCGAGAAACTGTAGGGAGGGGGAATAGCGAGAGGCTGGGCTGGTGGTGATGGTGGTGATGCAGGGTGCGCGTGTGGGTCACTCTCGGCGCGCCCGTCTATGGGGGGGGCTGCCGGTTTAAAATAGCATATAAATAAATAAGTGCGACAACATTAAAACAAGGCAGAGAGACGCCGTGCAGGTTCACACACAACACCACACGCAAGGCAGACGCGGGGCACCACCACCACCACACGCCCACAGAGAACGTCGACAACGCGCGTGGTGGGGGGGGGTACACGCAGGCTCGGCTGGGGAGGATGAGCGGATGACACGGAGCAGAAGGTGCTCACATCGTCAACGTCGTCGTCTTCATCGTCATCCGTGGCAAGGAGCGAAACTTCAGTTCGTTGCTGCGCGTCTGTCGAGGGAGTCGGAGCACTTTATAAGTAGCGCTGTTGTTTAGAGATCGTCGTGGTTTAGGAGTTCGCGATTCATATCGAGCGAGAGAGAGATCAGCTGCGGGGATCACCATCACCGCCGCCACATCACCACCATCATCATCACCATCATCATCACCACCACCGAGCCACCGCCTGGCCGGGAGCTGGCCACGCACGGCCGCTCGTCCTCAAGGGGCCCGTCCACGATGAACGATGTGAAAGTCGTCGTGCTCGGCAGCGACAACGTCGGCAAGTCCGGTGAGAGAATCCTCCTCCTCGTCCTCCTCCTCGTCTTCCTCCTCTTCCTCTTCACTCCCCCCCACCCCCTTGTGCTGTTCGCACGCGTACACACACACACAGACGTACACACACACAGACGTACACACACACACAGACGTACACAGACGTACACACACACAGACGTACAAACACACAGACGTACACACACACAGACGTACACACACAGACGTACAAACACACAGACGTACAAACACAGACGTACACACACACAGACGTACACACACACACAGACGTACACACACACACAGACGTACACACACACACAGACGTACACACACACAGATGTACACACACACAGACGTACACACACACACAGACGTACACACACAGACGTACACACAGACGTACACACACACAGACGTACACACACACAGACGCACACACACATAGACGCACACACACACACAGACGTACACACACAGACGTACAAACACACAGACGTACAAACACACAGACGTACACACACAGACGTACACACACAGACGTACACACTACACACACACAGACGTACACACACACAGACTTCACACACACACAGACGTACACACACAGACTTACACACACACACAGACTTACACACACACAGACGTGCACACTGCACACACAGACGTACACAGACGTACAGACGTACACACTACACACACACAGACGTACACACACAGACGTACACACTGCACACACACAGTGCGCAGTGCGCTAACCGCTGCCCCACCGCTCCAGAGAACGCGTACACACCACACGCGAATGTGCCCCCCACAAATGTGCCCCCCCCCCACACATTGTATGCGGGAGTTGCGTTAGCCTAGGCGGTGTACTTTTTGTGGCGAGGTATAAGAAAGTTTGAGCGTTGCGATGAAGCGTCACGAACCCCGGCAACCCGAATTCGATTCCTGCTCCCGGCCACCAGCTCCAGTGACGAACATCTGAACCAGTGCTGGGCGTCCCCTAGGTCGACTCGGTCTCAAATGAGTACCTGTTGCGGTGTGTAAACATCGCCACTGGGGAGACAAAGGCGGTCGGGTGTGGTGCTGGCCACCCCCCCCCCGACCCCCCTCGTGTGCGGTGCCGGTCTTCATAGGTGCTGATCAATAGCAGCACTTGCCCCAATAGTCTGTTAAGGCTACACGGGGGATCTTTGTCTTTTGCATGGTCGGTGTGATGGGTGTGGTTGTGTTGTGGGGGGACCGCTACATTGGTGGCTGTGGTGAAATATTTGGTGGTGTGATGGATGGGATGCGGATGTGTGATGAGCTGATTATAGTGCCCCGGGTTTGTGTAATATGGTGCTGGATGATGGTTTTGATGTTGTGTTGGAGTGTTGTATGGCGCGTTGGGGTTGTATGCTGTGATGAGCTGTTGATGGCTTTGGGTGGTGTAATAATAGGGCTGTGGATGATGGGACTCTATGTTAGTGTGCTCTGATGAAATGCTTGGCTGTGCAATAATATAGTATGGTGTGGTTGGTTTATGTTGTTCTGTGTGTGTGTTCGTGTGATGGGGTCATGTGTGGTGTGATGAGCTGTCGTTGAGTGTTGTGATGAGGGATTTCGGTGGGGTGGTCTAATGGGGTGGTGGTAAGATGGGGGGGGGGGGAGAGGTGTTTTATTTGCGATGAGCGGTAGCGTGAATGAATAGTGGGTCGTGAATGTAATACAGCGGCCGTGTCTCAAGGTGTGAATTGTGGAATTGTTCAACATTTGTGACGAAGCGTCTGTGCGGTCGTGTAATATGATTGTGGCACGCAGCGATTTGGGATATTGTTTGGTGCAGTGTTTGCTGATGGGATCGAGTGTTGGGTCGTGGACGCGATTAGGTGCGGCGTGGCTTGGTGTGATGCAGAACTGCCCAGAGTGGTGGACGTCACGAGGTTGCGCAGTTTACGATGCTCACTTGGTGTTGTCAGAGCAGGCTGCTTTCGTTAAGATGATGCCGTGGGCATGATGAGACAGGCGAGACGATGAGACAGGCGAGACGATGAGACGACAGCCTGCGAGAGGAGTTTGTTGGCCGCTGGATTTAGTCGCTGAATCATCACGCCCGCGTCCACGGAGCTGCTTGCATTCTGCTTGAGATCACGGTGATTAACACCAAGCCATCAGCGCTGATGGTTGCCAGCTGGGCTTGGCTGGCGTTGCAGCTTCCTTAGAGCAATGCGGGGCCGTGTTTTTGGTCTTTGCGTCTGTATCGCTGTAGCGCGCGCAGCAGGCTGACCCAACTAAAAAAAAGGTTTACGAGTTCAAATAATGTTCGGGCTCGAGTCAAAGCAATAGGAACGTCTCTCCTACGGGGTTAGGAGAACAGTCGTCACTTCAGGGAAAGTGAGAAGCCAAACGGGTTGTTTGAGCTGCATTTAAGGGAGTGCCTAGTCCCGTCACACGCATGTGGAATTCACGCCACCGATTTCGCGACCAACGATGGAGATGAGCAGAGGTAGCGTCAGCACGCGTCAGAGCAATAGGGGGTATTTATTTACGTGAATACAGTACAGAATACAATACAGACGAGGTAAACATTTTTATAAAAACTCACTGAATTGAATGGCCGCGTTTGCACTTTGGAATCACTCACTGATGCCTAAAGCAATGGCACCCCCCTTCCCTCCCTAGAGATGATGAAAATTGGTCATTTACTTGATATTTACCGAAGAATATTCACTGAATGTGTTTTGATTATTGTTAAAGATGTAGGGCCCTTTTAAAAAGAAGCTTGGCATGACTGGAGCGCCTCTCTCTCCCTTGGGAAGTTTCTAGATCCAATGCCTTTCATAATCTCGCTCGTTCTTGTTTTTCTCACAGCCCTCATCGTGAGATATCTTACCAAGCGCTTCATTGGGGAATACGCGTCCAATTCAGGTAAGACATCGGAATTCACAATGCTACATGCATCTTGCCTGTACCATATTTGCTGATGGTGTATGCTTATTGTGTACAAGTGCCCAGAGCAGACGTTGACACCATCGAAGATAACAAACTTTTGTAGTAGCCATTTATTTACATGACTAATACGAGTGGATTTACTTGATAACCCACTCATTTCAAATGCTTGTCACATAATTCACTGTTCTTGGCCATATGAGGAAATTGGAATCACGAAAGTTATGCCACCTGGGGTAGAACCGACAAGTGAATTGACTGGTCTGGGCTCATGGACTAAGCCGCATGCCGCTGGGAAGTTTAAAGATCGCACAGACGTGAATGCAACACAGGCGGTCGTCCTGATGACGACCGCCTGTGTTGCGATCGAAACGTCGTAGTGATTTTTGTTTGTTATTTTCTTTGAACCTATCTACGTGACTTTACCGGAAAGACCCAAAGAATATGAATTCCTGCAGTCACGAAAGCTTTAAGTCGCGTACAACCATGTTGGCCCAATCAAGCCAGCACTCGGATAACAAGCATATACACCCAATCAAGTAAATTTGATCGTAAGGAAAGGAATTGTTTTTTATGGCTTTGTTACACATTGCAAAGCACGTAGAGTAAGTAGTGTACTGTATTTTGCCTACAAGAGGATAAACACCAACGGACAGGTGTTGCCTAAAAGGTGGGCACAGCCCTGTGTATCAATATTCACTCTTGTTCTGTATGAGCAGAGCGACACGCGGTTTGCTTTGGGCAATACACCCAGGACCCTTGAGCCGCTTTACTTGCTGCGTTAGTCGAGAACAGATAGAGTTGCTGGTCCACAGCGATGGAGAAACATTGCACTTCAAGTTTGTAAAATATTATAGGTCTTTTTGCCCGTCTGTAGTTGTCATGCTACAGATATTTGTGAGTGCAGTGTTGGCGTTGTGTGATCTCAGAGGAAACATTGGCAGACGAAAGGTTATATAGACTTAAAGGGCAAATTATTTGATTGGTTCACTTTCGGCCTTCAGAAGAGCCGAGTTGTTTGAGAGTGCATTAGTTAACTGACTGCAAGGGCTGCATTACATCAAAGCCCTTTGTACATAAAGTATATCGATTTTAAGTCTATCTGACGACTACATTTCTTATATATTAACTTCTTAGTTTCAGTTATAACTTACTTTTTCCTCCCTTGGAGGGCCATGCGTCTAGCTAGTATTGCGATATATAACTCGCTGTGTGTTCACATGGTGTGTGTATTGTGCTTAATAAACGCACGTGGGGGTGGTGGTGACGATAGTGAATGGGGGGTCTTTTAAATTTCCCTCTATCCCATGGACAGGAGCCAGCGTCTGCTTAAAAGTCAACTGTGCGTGCACGTGTGTACATATAGGTCGACCCAGCCTCAAACGAGTACTTGGTGCGGTGTGTTAAACATTGCCACTATGGAGACAAAGGCGGCCGGGCGTGGTGTTGGTCACCCACCCCCTCGTGCGCCGTACCGGCCTTTATAGGATGCTCGCTGGCAGCATTTACCCCAACAGTCTGCCGAGGCTATACGGGATATATTTGTCTTTGTACATATATGCCCAGTGACCTCCCAGTGTTTAAACCCGCAATGCATTTGACCGAGGAAAGCCCAACTTTAAATGTACCACCGTACAATGAGTATTCGTGGCACAATCTGCACCTGGGGAATGCTGGCAGTCCGTTTCCTCTTGAAATCCCGTAGCCGGCTAAAAGTCTAATTGGGGTGTGTGGGTGGCCTATTGTTCGTCGAGCAGTGTGGGGTCCCCCCCCACCAATCCCAGCTCCTTCAGGCTCAAAAAACTATGGGCCCGATTTACAAGACGTCTGCCAGTAATCGGCTCCAATAATTATCGTCACCCGCGTGTGATTGGAGATGCTCACCGCCGTTTAGTCATCGTCATTCACATGCAGCGCTGCTCTGGATTCATGCTCTGGCACGCTGTCGACCCGTGCACGTGGTGACACTATCTGTGTGTGGGGGGGGGGCATTATGTAGCCTCCTTATACCATGCATGTACGTGTGCAAATATACAGCACGTACACTCATTTATTATGCGCAGCAGTTACTATGTTATGTTTTCCACTTAACACGTGTACTGCTGGATCTAATCCACTGCTGGATGAGAGCCTCCCCATACTGAACAGGCTGTCAGGAATATTTGACCATACTTCAGCACTCTGGTCAGTGTGGGTTGGTCAAAGTGGGGGGAGGAGGGGGATAAAAAAAAACAATAGATTTTGATACACTGCCCTCTACTGCCCATAATGCCTATAACGCCACGCGTCATTATACCATGGTGGGTCGTCCAGGCTCGGTTTTTTTTGGGTCCTGCTTAGCTGAAGTCTTGATGAAATCCGGCTATGTTTCAACCGCGTTTTATACAAGATGGACGTATATCCCACGGATCTGCGTGCAAGCCACTGGACCAGTTTGTACAGCCTCTTGTTAAGTTCCTGCTGCCTCCTGCCCAGTAATTTCTGCCGAGTTGTGTGAAGTGCACAGGCTGCTGTGAAGTGGCCCTTGAAAATCGTGCACAATTGCAGGCCATTCGGTAAAGTCACGTAGATAGGTTCAAAGAAAATAACAAACCTATCTACGTGACTTTACCGAAAGACCCAAGAATATGAATTCCTGCAGTCACGAAATAATTGCAGGCCACTGTGCTCATATAATAGCCACAAATAATTATAATACTTCTAGCCCATAAAGAAACAAAAAAAAATGTGCATCCCTATATAGCCTCTGACCAAATCACCAGGTATGTGCCGGGTCTGGTTCAGATATTAGAAGCTAAGCTGGGTTGAACCTAGAGAGTGCTTCAGTGGGTGACTGCCATCCGTAACAGGTGCTATAGGCTGCGGGGCTACATGGTTGGCAGCAGACGGCAGGTGCAGAAAAAAGCCCACAGTAGTACTGTACTTCTGCTCTTCCACATTGGTTCTCTACACCTTGAACAATCATTACCAGTCAACGCTGATACACGTGGCAAAGTATGCTCAAATAATGGATGGAAGTCTTCATCCAGCAGTGGATTGACACAACCGGTGTACCTGTACACATGTACATAAAGCTTTATACCAGAGGCAGACATAAAATCACAGACACTGAATTCATATAATACTGCATTGTGTGCATATATACACACATACACATTGCCAAATTAATTCATTGTAATCTATATCAATAATTGCCCCCCAACTGGAAAAAAAACCAAGCGAAGCGTCTCTATGTGTACAAGGCCGTGAAAATGTAAACACAAACTGAGCTTGCACTGTGTGCCAATTTGATCATTTATGTTGCTGCAATGATTTCACACGAATGTCAACACACCCCCCACGTCATGAGCGGCACACTGGCGCACTGGGCGGACACAATTAAAACATTTCCCTCGCACATACATACAAACAAAGACAAAGATCCCCCGTATAGCCTTCACAGACTGTTGGGGCAAGTGCTGTGAGGGAGCACCTATGAAGCCTGGCACGGCACACGAGGGTGTGGGCGGCCAACACCACGCGCGGCCGCCTTTGTCTCCCTCGTGGCGATGTTTACACGCCGCACCAGGTACTCATTTGAGGCTGAGTCGACCTAGGAGATCACCGTAACTGGTGTTAAGCGCAGCCGCGCTATCCTCTGCGCCACCGCTCCCCGCGTGCATGCACACTCCCACACGCAGCCTACAAAGCCCCATGGTGTGCTCTTTCCACGTGACGAGTTTGGCTGCACCTGGTGTTGTCCAGCTCCTACTTTACTCTCCCGGTAGACGTCTCGGTGAAGCTGCCCACGTGGAGTACAAGTTCAGAGCAGAAGCCTACAGATATTTTTTTGTTTTCTGGAGATAAAGAAATGTAAAAACGTGATAGTCATTTACCCGCCCTGGTGTCAATCTGCTGGACAAAGGCATCCCCAAAATTTGAGTTGCTTTATATCACGAGTTTTTTAAAGTTTATTAAATCCCCCCCCCCCCCCCACCTCTTGGCTACCCAGCTACGTAAGTGGGTAGACCACAGCTGATCGGCAAGTCGTGTGTGGTGGGGTAAAGTATCGGTGCTTCCACCTCTTACCATTGGTCTGGCCAGTGTGGAAGAGTAGACCAAAATACCCTCTATAGAGTTGCTCTCTGGAGCTTTCTCTGGTGGGAGGCCCCTTCCGCCAACAGTGACACGAGCAGGCAAATGCAGGGCTACACCTTTGCCTCTTTACTACGGCTCAGTAACAGCCGAAGCGTTGATATCTCCCTCGCGAGATATTCCTTTCATCTCACCGACGGCTAATCGAAAAAAAAATGCCCTGTTGATGTTATTAATATCCCTGCGATGTTATATATATAATCTCAAAGCAGTTTGGTAACTCGCAGATTGCTGAATGCTGAATGAGGCAGATATGCGGGCTTCAGTTCATCACTCTCCAACACACGCACACACACACACACGTGATAGACCACACCAACAATCTGCCGACTGGGAACAGCAAGCACTTGTTTATGTGACCACCCCTATGGTTGGTGCCAAAAGGCAGCAGCCACCGCCGCCTGTATTTGTTTCATTTGCAAGCGTAATTTTTATCCTGTCTATATGTACGTAATGGAATACGAGGTTTCGATTGCAACACAAGCAACCATCATCAGGTACAAATGAATGAGAACAAACCTAGTAAACTTGGAAATACAATCAACCAGGTGGGGTGTTGACTGTTTTTGTTGGCCGACTCTCTGTGTTCTATGGCATTATATTTCTAAGTTTGCTAGGTTTGTTTTCTCATTCATTTGTACCTGATGATGGTTGCTTGTGTTGCAATCGAAACGTCGTGTATTCTATTATTAAAATTTAATTTCTCTCTACGTGACTTTACCGAAAGAACCAAAGAGTAATTCCTGCAGTAACGAAAGCTTCGAATCGAGTTTCAATATTTATTTGATTCTCCCAGCCGGATCCAGGTTCTGTGCAGGATTGCCATTACACAACTTTAACAATTT